TTGAAGTCTTTAGGAGGAATTTTAAGGGTTTTTTGGGGGGATTTTACGGGATTGATGGAGGGATTTTTGGGGGATTTTGGGGGATTTTTGGGGGGATTTTGGGGGATTTTTGGGGGGATTTTTGGGGATTTTTGGGGATTTTGGGGGATTTTTGGGGGGATTTGGGGAGATTTTTGAGGGGATTTTTGGGTTTTGGGGTTTTGAGGATTTTTGGGTTTGGAGGTTTTTGGGATTTTTTGGATTCTTGGGATTTGGGGATCTGGGGGGTTTTTAAAATTTTTGGGATTTTTTTGGGTTTGGGATTTTTGGGGGCGAATTTGGGGGGATTTTGAGGAGGAATTTGTGGTGAATTTGGGGAAGAATTTGGCACTCCTGGGATTGGGATTTTTGGGGGAGAATTTGGAGGGAATTTCATCGGGTTTAGGGTGAATTTTGGGCAGATTTTGGGGTGAATTTTGGAGTAAATTTGGTGGGATTTGGGGACGAATTTTGGGCAAACAATAGAGGAAATTTGATGGGATTTGGGGCTGAATTTGGAGAGAATTTAGGAAGAATTTGGGGTGGATTTGGGGCCATTTGACACCTTCAGGATTGGGAATTTTTGGGAGCAAATTTGGGGAAATTTTGGGGATTTTTTGGGGAGAATTTGGAGGGAACGCCGTTCCCCCTCCGCACCAACTACATGTTTGCCCGGGTGGGGGTGGTCTGGGAATATGGGGGATTTGGGACCCCCGGGGTTGGGATTTTGGGGGGTGAATTTGGGGACATTTTGGGGCAAATCTGGTGGAATTTGGGGGACAATTTTTGGGGATTTGGGACTCCTGGGATTGGGATTTTTGGGGGAGAATTTGGAGGGAATTTCATCGGGTTTAGGGTGAATTTGTGGGCAAATTTGGACAGAATTGATGGGATTTTTGCAGCGATTTCCACCAAAATTCCCAGCTAAATTTTCATTTTCCCGAATTTCCCGGTGGAAATTGAATTTTGGAGCGAATTTGGGGGACAATTTTTGGGGATTTGGGACTCCTGGGATTGGGATTTTTGGGGGAGAATTTGGAGGGAATTTCATCGGGTTTAGGGTGAATTTGTGGGCAAATTTGGACAGAATTGATGGGATTTTTGCAGCGACTTCCACCAAAATTCCCGGGTTAATTTGCATTTTTCCCGAATTCCCCGTTTTTTGCCCCAGGCGGTTTCCGGGCGCCGTTCCCCCTCCGCACCAACTCCGTGCTCACCTGGGAATTTGGGGGATTTGGGATCCCCGGGGTTGGGATTTTGGGGGACAAATTTGGGGTGAATTTCGAGTGAATTTGGGGGGATTTGGAACTCTGAGAATTGAGATTTTGGGGGTAAATATTGGGCAAATTTGAGGGGTGAATTTGGGTGAACATCGGGATGACTTTGGGGTGTACTTGAGGAGAATTTGGGGGACAATTTTTGGGGATTTGGGACTCCTGGGATTGGGGTTTTTGGGGGGGGATTTGGAGGGAATTTCATGGGATTTGGAGTGAATTTGGGGCTATTTGGACAGAATCAATGGGATTTTTGCAGCGACTTCCACCAAAATTCCCGGTTCAATTTTCATTTTTCCCAAATTCCCCGTTTTTTGCCCCAGGCGGTTTCCGGGTGGCGTTCCCCCTCCGCACCAACTACATGTTCGCGCGTGTCCGGGGTCCCGTGCGGAGCCCCCTGGGCGCCGTCTCCGTCTGCCTGTGGCTGCGCCCGGGGGGCGCCCCCAGCCTGGGCACCCCCTTCTCGTACGCGGCGCCCGGGCAGCCCAACGAGCTGGTGCTGCTGGCCTGGGGCGGCCGGCCCCTCGAGCTGCTCGTCGACGACCAGGTCGGGGGGTTTGGGGGGTTTGGGGATTTTTTTGGGGATTTTAGGGGAATTTTAGGGGATTTTTTGGGGATTTTTTGGGATTTTTTGGGGATTTTTTGGGATTTTTTAGGGATTTTTTTGGGGAATTTTTGGGATTTTTTAGGGAAGTTTAGGGGATTTTTGGGGATTTTTTGTGGATT